ATATTTTTCCAATCCAACCCAACAATTATTATACATCATTTTAAAGAGAAAGCTTTGAGCTTTAATTTAGAATAAGTCTCATTCCTTAATTTCAATAAATACGGCTTCCAGGAATTTTTAAATTAGCATCTTTTTTGACACTTTTAGGTTATACGAAAATTTAAGTTTTATTTCAACATTTATTTTCTCTATATTTTTCCAATCGAACCCTACAATTATTATACATCATTTTAAAGAGAAAGCTTTAAGCTTTAATTTAAAATAAGTCTCATTCCTTAATTTCAATAAACACGGCTTCCAGAAAATTTGGAATTATGCGAAAATAGGGGGATTGCATATTTTGCTAAAATTGATTCCAAAGCCATTTTTGCCACATTTTTTACTTGTTGGGACACAAAGGGTTAATTTATTTATTAACTAAATAATAAATTAAAAACGAATTAATTAATTTAAACCAAATTTTGAATTAAAATAATTTTTTAAATCAAAATTAATTTAAGTTGGTATTAATCACAACATAACCTCACAAAACCAACTCACCAATGTTATGATCTTTTGCGTTACTGGCGATATCTAGTAGCCTCCTTATTTGTTTCTTTCTCAAATGGGCTTTTGCGCTGCAAACTGCCAAACTTGCGTAAGCAAAATCTAAATCGTGGGTTGATTCATGATGTTGCAAAGTCCCGATTAAATCGTGTCCATGGAATTGTCTTGGATCCTCGCATAAAGCACTCAAAGCTAACGAATATTGCGCTAATTTCGGTGGGGTGACCGGAATTTCGTGGTGCCTTAAATCAAATTAATTAAGATAAAACAACATTTTATCCCCAAAAATTACCTCCACAACAACACAACGATTTCAACCTCCATTTGTTTGGATGAAAGTTGCATCTCAACGCTCGAAGGGAGTAATCCTTTGAGATCATCGTTCGATTGGATTAATTGTAACGTTGTGATTACTTTTGGGGTATCATTTCTCCACCCATAATCGGGTTCTCGTTGCGAAACCAACCAAGCGAGCGCTTTTTGAACACTCGTTTCGCATTCTAAACACGTATTCGCCGATAAAGAGAATGGGGATAATTCTGTTGTTGATGTTGAGGCTAGAATTTGTTTAATTTTGTTAATAAAATTGAAAAAATAGTTCAAAATTACGTTTAAGTGATGATGAGGCCACCGTTTGAAGGAGTAAATCTTCGCAGATCACCACAGAGAATGTTATTATTAATAAAAATCCAATCCCGGAGATGATTAAACGAAACATCCTGTATATAAAGCGAATTAGTATGATTCATCCTTTATGACTCATTTTTTTTTGAGGTTAGCTTCTTTGTATGAAGTAAAAATAGATTTTTGGAATCGATTTTTTGTTAAATGGGACTTTTTCCACTTTAACCCCGTTTAATGACATTTTTTTGACAGATTCGAATTTGACATAACCTCAATTAATAATGGCTATATTCAAGGTGGTGTTTTTAACGATTAATTAATTTTTATTTAACAATTTTTGCGGATTAAATCCGAAATAAAAAATCGATCGAATCGAAATTGCATAAAATCTTACCTTTACTCGAGGCGATTTCCCTAATTTTCAACCTAATTAAATTCGAGACCGTAACTACGAAAAATTCGAAACGCGAAATGTATAAGTCGCCTTCCGTTTCCGGCGATAAACTGCGAAGCTTCAACTGTACGGAGCTTTCGTCGTTGGGCGAGCTTTTGTACGCGGCCCGACCAAAAAGCTCGCTCGCGGTTGCGCAAAACGTCTCTTTTCCGCGGTATTGATTCGTCTAGGAAAAGGACGTTCATTCAACTGGTACCGCCACCAGACGTAATCCGTGAATGGAAAAAAAGATGACTCATAATTAACTTTATTAAAAATAATTCATCTAGATTCGAAAATAACCCCAAATGTAGGTTGAAACGTCGGTTAATTTTAAAAGTAGGAAATGTCAAAAAATTAAATGTCAAGTTGACATTTAAATGTCAAAATTAACTTTTTATTTGAAAATACGTTTTAGTTGCTATAATTACACATTAATAAATACATATTAATCTATTATATTCTACTTTTTAATTCGGAGGAGTTGAATTGAAACGCCAAAAACGGGTTGCTATTGATCAGTTTTACTTCAATAAAAATGTTTTGACATATTTGTAATCTTCATTAAAAAACCTTTAAAATGAGTACAAACACGACATATTTATCTTCAATATTAATGAAGTTACGTCGACTTCCGGTTAGAAACGTCAACCTCAATTTTGACATATTTGTAATCGTCGTGAAATATCCTTTAAAATGAGCCCAAACATGATACGTTTAATTCCGATATTACTCGAGATGTAAGCAACTTCCGGTTTGAAATGTCAACGTCATTTTAATACATTTTTAATTTTTATAAAATTTCTTAAAATTTGTCACAAAAACGAAATTATAATAAAAAAAAAATCAAAAATTTAGGTTGGTATTAATACTGTTGGTATCTTCATTATTGCTAACTTCGTGTTTAATGTTTTTCGAGATAAGTGTGTCATGTTTGGACTCATTTTAAAGGTTTTTTAATAAAGAATNAGTACAAACACGACATATTTATCTTTAATATTAATGAAGTTACGTCGACTTCCGGTTAGAAATGTCAACGTCAATTTTGACATATTTGTAATCGTCGTGAAATATCCTTTAAAATGAGCCCAAACATGATACGTTTAATTCCGATATTACTCGAGATGTAAGCAACTTCCGGTTTGAAATGTCAACGTCATTTCGATATATTCTTAATTTTTATGAAATGTCTTAAAATTTGACATAAAAACGAAATTATAATAAAAAAAAATCAAAAATTTAGGTTGGTATTAATATTGTTGGTATCTTCATTATTGCTAACTTCGTGTTTAATGTTTTTCGAGATAAGTGTGTCATGTTTGGACTCATTTTAAAGGTTTTTTAATAAAGAATACATAACGAAGTTGTCTATTTTATGAAAATTAACTTCAGATTTAAAATGTCAACCTCAATTTTGACATATTTGCAATATTCATTAAAAAACCTTTAAAATGAGTACAAACACGACATATTTATCTTCAATATTAATGAAGTTACGTCGACTTCCGGTTAGAAATGTCAACGTCAATTTTGACATATTTGTCATCATCGTGAAATATCCTTTAAAATGAGCCCAAACATGATACGTTTAATTCCGATATTACTCGAGATAGAAGCAACTTCCGGTTTGAAATGTCAACGTCATTTCGATATATTCTTAATTTTTATAAAATGTCTTAAAATTTGTCACAAAAACGAAATTATAATAAAAAAAAATCAAAAATTTAGGTTGGTATTAATATTGTTGGTATCTTCATTATTGCTAACTTCGTGTTTAATGTTTTTTTGTTGTAACTTTTTTGTTTTTCGAGATAAGTGTGTCATGTTTGGATTCATTTTAAAGGTTATTTTATAAAGATTACGAATATAATAATAAAATTAAAGTTGACATTAACACCTGAAAGTTTTTTTCTTAGCCATGTGTCAAAATTTTCAAAAAACAGCAATATTATTTTGAAGAGGCATTATTTTAAATTTAATTGTTTTGATGAGATTAGAAATGAAAAATCCTTTAAAATGAGTCCAAACTCGACGGGGTTATTTTCAAAAACGAATATTTTGTAGATGGCGCTCGTTGAGAAACCGCCATTTTGGAAAACATTATTTTTACAGATAACCCCATGATGTTTGGGCTCATTTTAAAGGATTTTTCAAATCCAATTTAATAAAAGTAATTATTTTAAAAAAAATTAATTAAAATATTTTCAAAATGGCTAACTAATATTTAAGACGATTTATTTTAGATTTAATTGTTTTGATGAGATTACAAATGTAAAATCCTTTAAAATGAATACAAACACGACATATATATCTTCAATATTAATGAAATTATGGTCCACTTCCGGTTAGAAACGTCAACCTCAATTTTGACATATTTGTAATCTTCATTAAAAAACCTTTAAAATGAATACAAACACGACATATTTATCTTCAATATTAATGAAGTTATGGTCAACTTCCGGTTAGAAATGTCAACGTCAATTTTGACATATTCTTAATTTTTATGAAATGTCTTAAAATTTTCCACAAAAACTAAAATCTAATAAAAAAAAATCAAAAATTAAGGTTGGTATTAATAGTTACTATCTTCATTGTTGCCAACTTTAGGTGTAACGTTTTTTAACCTAACTTTTTTGTTTTTTAAGATAAATACGTCATGTTTGGACTCATTTTAAAGCTTATTTTATAAAGATTACGAATATAATAATAAAATTAAAGTCGACATTAACACCTGAAAGTTCTTTTCTTCGAAACTGTTTCAAAAAACACCAAAATTATTTTTAGGCGGATTATTTTAAATTTAATTGTTTTGATGAGATTAGAAATGAAAAATCTTTTAAAATGAGTCCAAACTCGACGGGGTTATTTTCAAAAACGAATATTTTGTAGATGGCGCTCGTTGAAAATCCGCCATTTTGGAAAAAATTATTTTTAAAGAAAACCCTGTGATGTTTGGGCTCATTTTAAAGGATTTTTCGAATCCAATTTAATAAAAGTAATTATTTAAAAAAAAGTTAATTAAAATATTTTCAAAATGGCTAACTAATATTTAAAACGGGTTATTTTAGATTTAATTGTTTTGATGAGATTACAAATGAAAAATCCTTTAAAATAAATACAAACACGACATATATATCTTCAATATTAATGAAGTTAAGGTCCACTTCCGGTTAGAAACGTCAATCTCAATTTTGACATATTTGTAATCTTCATTAAAAAACCTTTAAAACGAATACAAACACGACATATTTATCTTCAATATTAATGAAGTTATGGTCAACTTCCGGTTAGAAATGTCAACGTCAATTTTGACATATTCTTAATTTTTATGAAATGTCTTAAAATTTTCCACAAAAACTAAAATCTAATAAAAAAAAATCAAAAATTAAGGTTGGTATTAATAGTTACTATCTTCATTGTTGCCAACTTTAGGTGTAACGTTTTTTAACCTAACTTTTTTGTTTTTTAAGATAAATGCGTCGTGTTTGGACTCATTTTAAAGCTTATTTTATAAAGATTACGAATATAACAATAAAATTAAAGTTGACATTATCACCTGAAAGTTCCTTTCTTCGAAACTGTTTCAAAAAACACCAAAATTATTTTTAGGCGGATTAATTTAAATTTAATTGTTTTGATGAGATTAGAAATGAAAAATCCTTTAAAATGAGTCCAAACTCGACGGGGTTATTTTCAAAAACGAATATTTCGTAGATGGCGCTCGTTGAGAATTCGCCATTTTGGAAAAAAATATTTTTAAAGATAACCCCATGATGTTTGGGCTCATTTTAAAGGATTTTTCAAATCCAATTTAATAAAAGTGGTTATTTAAAAAAAAATTAATTAAAATATTTTCAAAATGGCTAATTAATATTTAAAACGGGTTATTTTAGATTTAATTGTTTTGATGAGATTAGACATGAAAAATCCTTTAAAATGAATACAAACACAACATATATATCTTCAATATTAATGAAGTTATGGTCCACTTCCGGTTAGAAATGTCAACGTCAATTTTGACATATTCTTAATTTTTATGAAATGTCTTAAAATTTGCCACAAAAACTAAAATCTAATAAAAAAAAATCGAAAATTAAGGTTGGTATTAATTTGTTACTATCTTCATTGTTGCCAACTTTAGGTGTAACGTTTTTTATTGTAACTCTTTTGTTTTTTAAGATAAATACGTCGTGTTTGGACTCATTTTAAAGCTTATTTTATAAAGATTACGAATATAATAATAAAATTAAAGTTAACATTAACCCCTGAAAATTTTTTTCTAGTCTAGTGTTAGTTTTAGTTTTAATTCAATAAAAATATGCAACTTGGTGATATTTTATTTAAACGTAACTTTTCATTTAGCTCCTCCGCATTAAAAAATAAAGTATAATTAATAATAAATCGTTTAAAACTTAATTAATGAAACGCATAAAATAAAATCAACAAGGTACAAACACCAACGACCAACCCAACGATAACCGAATCCCTCTTTTTCCTCATATTAATCCGTTGAATCAAACTGTTAATCATCGGAAACCGATTTGAGACGTCATTAAACCTCGTTTGCAACCGCTTTAAAGTTTGCCGTTGACCGGAAAGGTGTTCCCGAGTCTCCATCGCTATCGATATTTGATCATTAACCAACCGATCGGAGCTAAAACTAATTTATTAACAAAAATCGCACAAAAATAACAACTTACTTATATAAATGGGTGTTTTCTTTCGTGTATAAGTCCCTTCGATTAACCCCCTCAGTTCGAAAACTATCGTTTTTGGAAGTTCTTAATAAATCCTCTCTTTCCCTTCTCGTTTCGTGTTGCGAATTGATTTTTCGGTAATCTCTCGATAAATCCGTGAGGATATCTTTGTGCCGATGCAACGTGTGAAGCATCCCAGCCCCCGAAACGGGCTGTTCCGACATCCTCTCATTAATTTGGGTCAATTTTTTGAGTAATTGCTCGATTTCCAATGACATAGCCTCAAAAGTATCTTCCCCAGATAATAATGGGACTGTATCGGCCGTGTTGTGGGCATGAGGAGTGTTTATTCCAGCGCCTAATTTACTAAAAGCCACTAATTTTAAATCGATATCGTTTTCTAAGTGTCTC